GAGGTCGTTGGTTCGAATCCCATGTGTTTATTTTTTATTTTATTTTATTTTTTTATCTTTATCAATTTAACTATTTTTTCCCAATTAACACAAATATTTACATGATTTATTTACAATTTTACATTATTTTTTTTTAAATTAATTAAATTTATTAGTGTTAATTAAATTTAATTAGGGTTAGGGTTAGGGTAGGGTCCCAGGTTAGGGTTAGGGTTAGGGTTAGGGTTAGGGTTTTTGCATCATTCTTTGATATACGGAAAGTCTGATGCGGAAGTTGATATGCGTAGTATGGAATATGTGTAGGGTTAAGGTTAGGGTTTTTGCATCATTCTTTGATATACGGAAAGTCTGATGCATGCGCAACCACCAGCACCATCAGCAGGCTGTATGCGTACATCACTGATCTCTATAATAAAATCGACATTATTATAGAGATCAGTGGCGTACATGCATTCGACATCGGAGATAGCCGAGTTCGTGCGTGACGTACACTGACGTCACGCGATCAGTCGGTGTCATGGAAACATATGCCCACCGCGGGGAGCGCTGCATATTGCTTGCCAACATACAGGCCATTGATATATATAAACACGTATTGATAATAAATTGATAATAATTGATAATAAAATAATTGATATAACACGTGTATTGATATGATTTCTATGATACAGGCAATATGGCGGCCATTTTAAATGTGTGATCGGTCTGATGCAATGTACACACATACACTGGCAACCCTATTTTAATCGTTGAACTATGATGATGCATCTATACTGATAAATAAATAAATAAATATATATATATATATACATATATATGTGTGCGCGCGCGCGTGTGTGTGCGTGTGTGCGTGCGGCATGCGTGTGTACGTGTGCGTGTGCGTTTGCGTACACCAATATGTGCGGGTGTATACTCATTTACGACGTGCCGACTTATACTTACAGAATGCGCATCTTGGCACGACACGTATATTTGCGTCGCCGAGACGAGCAAAAAAGTGACGTGCAGGCAAGGTCTCATCGTCGACATGATCATTGAAATCGGTCACATTAAACGTGTTGTATCAGAACAAGATCATATCGAGGCATTGTGTTTAGAAACGCACGACTCTTCCACCGAAATAAATATTCAGAACTGTACGTTTGATCCGCTACCAGCCGCCGAGTTGTCAGCGCAGCGCAGCGCCTGCATCAATAAGAGTCGCTGCTTCGTAAACTACGCTCTGCGTCCATCGACTGATACTTGCCCGTTCCAGCATGCGCACGTAATCTGAAAATGCGGTAAGTGTAGAATGTGCACGTGTGCCCGTAGGCACAGGCGCACGCATAGGCGCGAGCACACGCACAAACAAGTGCACGTGCACGCTAACCCGCGCGCCCATCCACAGGCGCGTATGCGCATTCTGCTTCGTACCACATTGTTGGTTCTCAAAATGCTGCCATGCAGTGTATCTAGGATTTATAACTGTCCTATTTTATTAGAAATCTGACATATTAACCCAACTAGTCACTTTTTCAAATAGTTACTGCCACCGTTAACGCCGTCATCGGCCATTTATTATTTATATTTGATCATCGCACATTTAGCTCAACTAATTATGAAATACGCCCCTATCGGCTATTTCCTCTTTCTGCGCACTAACTGCTCTGTTATGTTTCGACCCAGTGAGAACCCTTTTTTAGCCGTTGACCATTGTTTCGAATAATTTCATTTGCAAAACAATTAAACGTAATTTTTACTAGGATTGCATCCCTTAATTACTATCATTGGATATTAATATAATACTACACATGAGCGCCGACGATTTATTAAAGTCGTTCCTAATATCTGCGCGTGATTACAATGTTAGTAATTATTATTATTATTATTATTATTATTATTATTAATAATAATATTATTATTATTACTATTATTATTATTTACTGTGAAAGCAGCTGCGTGGCCTGGGGTTGATGAAACGGAGATAGGCACCGCCCATAGGCACATAGGCACGGGAAGGGATTTAACTTTTTTAAAGATATTATTATAACTATTATTATTTGCAATCCGTTTCTCATCACTTCAACATTTCTCGCTGGAATACGTTGTCAGGTGGCGACGCGATGTATGACGTCACGATGTACGGCAGCGTGAGACAATATGCCGCGTTCGAAAAGAAAACACTGACGGAATTGTACGTGATGTCCGTATGTTTCTGGATGCGTTTACCTGTGGCCGACAACAACTTCACGGTGGTCGTATCGTATATGCTGGAGGATAGAAAGAACCTTCTAAACTTGGCAGTGCATCAAGGAAATATCGTAACAATGAATACGGCGAATTCCTTCAGAGGCGCACTGTAAGTGACTTTCTTTGCAGTGAATTAGGGGAATGACTTCACGTGCCTTCTCCGACTAAAAAAATTATGCGTTTCTTATTTATTATGAATCATTGGACGATTTTATTTTAGTAAATAGACCCACTTGGATTATAGAAGATATCTAATTACTTAATTATCTTT